TCGTCCTTAAAACTCTTTTTAGTGGAGTCCAGCTTGTAATCATAGTGTCAAGAAACTTTTTAATTCTACATTATACAAAAAAAAAATGAACTTCTTGAAGATGAAAAAAAAGCTTATTTCTGAGTGTGTTTGGGGAAGATTGAGCTCATCCTCAAAATGTGTGACTTCTCAGACTACTTTCTGAGCATATACATTTTCAGTGTATAAAATTTGAACATTTCATTAGGGAAAGAGCAGTGTAATGGACTATCCCCTGCTTGCAGCATATTCCCATCTTCTCATCTGGAAAATTAAATCTGATTACAGCTTGGATTAACATTTATGGTTGTGGGGGAGAGGAAGATAGTATCTTAAACTACATGAAATTGAACAATGAAGATTTTATCGTTTATGGCGAATTTTTAAGTCTTGCTTTTAAAGGAAAGCATTCTTATAATTGTAAGCTTTAAATATGTTCGATATTTTGTTTCTTACTGACTGAAATATCCTAGGGATAATGACTGGATAAATTTTAGTGGGCATTAAATGTAATTTTTTCTGCCTTGATACCTGCCATGTTAAAAGTGAAAGCAGTGTAGATTCTCGTGTTAGCAGCTACATTTGCTTGCAGTCTCTCTTAAATTTCCTAAAAGAGCTCCAGTTATGGACGATTGTAACATTTGGTTCGTGTGCAGTTGTCACACATTTCATAGAAAATGAAGTCAGTGTATTTTTCAATAATCAGTTAAAGCGTCATGCCTTCAAATGGAGTCATTGGTGCGACAGAGAAAAACAGGAAAATAATTTGGTAAGGAGCGTGTGTGTGTGTGTGTGTGTGTGTGTACACATACTAGTTACTGATCTACAAATGAGCCCTCATACATAACCACAGTACTTTTATGAATTATTTTGCATTTCTGTTGTAAAAGATCTGTCTACCACGTTTTCTAGGAACTTTAAGCCTAAGGCAGAACTCAAGGTTTTGGAGCCTGTGTAAAATAATTTATAGCACCGTTCCAGCAAGTCTTGCCCAAACTCTAATTCTATTAATTAAACATCCTGTGGCAATCTGGTATATCTTAAAGATTTAAAGTATGTTACAGTAGAAGACTAGAAAACATGAACAATTGAGGTCGAAGAAAATTAACCTTTCTTAAAAAAAAAAATCAAGACATAGTTGTTCTGAGACTTTTCTTTCTTTATTTTTCCCCTGTGAGGACCTAGCCTCTTAAGCATGGTCACGTTACATGCCTGAATCAGATTGTGCTATTGGGAGTCCTATGCTGGGAAATGTCTGTGTTAAGTATAGAAGTGCTTCCTGTGGCCTCCAGTGGAAGCGGTGGTGCACACGTCTCTTTGTGGAGACCTCCTCTTGCATGGATGTGGTGCTGGAAGAAGGTAGTGGCCCATCATGTTGATTTGATGCGAAGCCTTATTCCAGACCCAGCTGCCTCTTTTAGGCTTACGTGGTCAAGAGATATATGGACTCTACCATACCATACATCTTGTGGCAAGATATTTTAAATACAGTATTTTAGGTTGAAAAGTATTTTCCTGGGAGATGATGAAATTGATTTTTAATTTTAAGAATCTACTACTTAAATCTGGAGAAAGTTGCTGAGAGAGAAGGAAAAGGAATGTTCTTAATTTTCTGTCAGAGGGACAATTCTTTGAGAAAAAGCTTGACATATGCCCATGACTCTGTTCCTTCTGCCAATTGCCTAAGCAAATTGTTGCTTTTTTCCTTGGTAGTTCTCTGATCTGCAGATTTTTGTGTTGAAAGTTAGCTATTTGGTGACACTGCATTTGGCGGTGAGGGTATGAATGTGAGAAGGTGTTTTGGAACATTAGCAATTATAGTATTGGATGGTGGATAAAGAAATAGATACATAAATATTAGACTGATGCACACTTTTCCAGTGTATGTTATTTTCCATATAAAGATATAGAACATTTCATAAAATGTTCCCAGACCATTTAAAACTCAAAGAAATGCAGCTGATGCAATGAAATACATAGAGTACTTGTAAAAACATACAGACACGCAAGTGGATTGCTGCCAGACAGAAAATTTAAAGGCGGTTTGCTTAACTGCAGGGTGCTAGGTTTTGTACATGTGCCATGCTGAAACTGTTAGTAAGGCGGGTGTTGTGTTGCTTGAGAAAAGCAGATTGTATTTGGACCTTTTAAACTCAGATGTTTCCAATGTCGATATTTTGGTGACATTATGGCATTGTGATTGACTCAAAGTGAAAAAAGATGATTTCAACCCACTGCAAAATAGACGTTTTAAGAAAAATTATTTTCAGTTTTTTGTTAATTTTTACAAAATGGCTTTCATAGTTTTATAAACTATCAGATTGGATCTTTGAGCTAATTGAGTGGAACTTTGTAGGTTGGGCTTTTGTTTTTAAAAAACATTGCCCCCCCCTTTTTTAAATATTGCTTTAGAGAGTGTTAAGAACCCATAAAGTTTGCTTTTGTAAACCTCAGGGCCTTAAAGGAAATCACAAGCTTTATGCTTGGATCATAGTAAATAATAATCCATGTATTATCTTGGAACATGATTCTGTAAAAATCTGGGAATCTCACTCTGGGCTGAGTCTTAGGACAGTTGAAGGAATTTGGTTGATGATGTTTGTTGTGCCTGCCACTGAGGCAGTGTTTAGGATAGTATGATTTGCATGACTCCCATCTTGGCATCTTTACCTTCAGTATATTAAAATAAGTGGATTTTTTTTCATCCATGTTTCCTTCTCTTTTTAAAATTCTGCTATATTGTATATATGCACAAAATACATTTTTAAAATAAGTTAATTATTAATATAGTTTCTTATTAACATAGTTGACTAAAGATGTAAAAACCTTCCTTCTCCCACCTATAAACAAGAAACTTTTTAAAATTGAAGAATAGATCATAAATTTTGGTTTCTGACCTCCATCCCCTCACAAAGTGGTGATTAAAAAAATTAGTCTTTGGTTTTATTCCATCTTGATTTCCTCAGTATTTGTGGTTCCTGAGAAGCAGAAACTACTTCAAGAAGACATGATATTAAAGATTATATGTGAGTCATTTCTATATGAAGTTTTCTGGTTGAAGAGTGTTAACCACGTGACAGTTGGAAGAAAAAGAATAAGCCTTATTCTGTGGCTTTCCCAACTTCTGTTTTACTGTGTCCCTCAGTGGCTTACAAGTGCTTTTTTTTTTTTCTCCCAGTCTTGGGAGCATATTTTAAAGCCTAAAATACCAGCTTTTCCTGCCCCAGGGTGATTTACCTATGTTTTAGGGATTATAACTGCTACCCTCTTACTTAGGCTCTCCCCATCCCCCAACCCAACAGCAAGCACACTTTTAGAGGTGTGTTAGGCATCTGGTTGTCCCTTTGCATCCTGCTAATTCTTCCCTGTAGACCTAGTGCTTTTCATGCCACGCCGTTAGCGCCCTCTGGCCTCCTGTCTCAAGTGGACCAAGTCCTTGTGTGATTTCAGCCCTTTCGGCCAGAGAGAAGCAACAGTTTCTTCCTCTGGCACACTAGGGCAGCCCTGCACGGAGAGGACCACGCCAGCACTCTGCTGGTCACAATGTAGACATGGCCTTTGTCCCATCGAGTGTTTGCACGTGAGGGTAAGGAAAGAAATTGATCCCCAGTTTTTAAGTCAACCAGAAGATCCCTCAGGAGCTGAAATGGTCTACAGATAGTTCCATCTCTTTTGGACCACCCATTTTTGGAAGCTCTGCTTTTTTGGTATGCCCTTTTGAATACTTCTGCTTTTGTTATTAGCTTTGGGTTTTGAAAAATAACATCCATTGACTTTAATGACTTGAAAACTGATATTTCTAGGATTTAAATGTAGTATGTGAATAGGCCCTTAGTTTTTTCCCTTTTTGATTCTTCGCTGCAGAAAGATTAACTGCATTTTTGTGTTGTGATTTTGGAGGGTTTTAACTTTTATGTGGATTCACTCTCACAGAGAAGGAAATTGATGTTTTAAAATATAGCTAAGAAAACTGAATAGTATGTTTTGTGATCAGTGTGTGAGGGGACCCTCAAATACTGTGCTTTTCCATTGATACGTGATTTTTCAAATACATATTATTCTTATCACTCCCCATAATGTGTCTCTGAGGAACCAAATCTCTTTCTCTTATTAGAAAAGATTGAATGTTTTCCTAATCAATAGCAAATGGAGTGCTAATAGCATTTAATTAGTACAGTTCTGTATTGACTTACAGACGATGGCATTGGATTATCTTGCAATTATGATTGAAGAATCAAGTGACCCCTTTAGTAATTCCATTTTAAGCAGATGGTCATAAAAGGTGTTTTCACCTATGTATTTTTATAGTTGATGAGCAAGTCTAATTATGTTAGGTAGAACATAATATCTCATTTCATGATATTTTGTTTGTATTGACAAGCCAAAAGTGTATTGTTTGGTTCTGAAGAAAACTTCATCCGGTTTTATCTGTATTTTCAGGAGTTCATAAGTATTTTGGTAAGGATACATTTTATTTTTAAAAGCAAGGAGTTTTGTATTTGTTCTTTGAAAGAATTCTCCCACTCCCTGCCACCTGCCAGTATGCGCGCATGCACGCGTGCACACACACACACACACAATCTGAAACTGGTGTTTAAGGTGGTTTATCAAGCACACATCTGTAACTGTGAAAAGGAGGCTTCTGATTAGAGAAAAAAAAGTCAAGCCAGGTTTAGGACTCATTTTCTCTGGAAAAATATATTGAGGGCAATTTGCAGCAGGCAAGATTTTTGCATTAGGTAATAGTCTAAAGTTAACAGTAGCATCAGGTCTTCAAAATTTTTCTTTTTTATATTTCTGGAGGAGGGTAATGGGAGTGCCTTGCCGAGTCCTTCCTTGTGCTCATCAACATAGCAGCCTCAGCTGCCCCCCTTGGATCCCCTGCCAGGGCTGCTATCATCTTCTGATCAAATATTAATGTGTGATCCTCTGCTTGCTCACTAATCCAAAGCCAATTAATATTATCTGTCAATTATTTACAGATCCTGAGGTGCAGAGGCAATTCCCGGAGGACTACAGTGACCAGGTTCGGAATGCGTAATTAATTTTTTACATGACAAAATTTATTTCAGAGTTGTTCAACATATTATTACTGTTCTTTTTACTGAAGGAGATAAATGAATTTTTAGAGGGAAGAGAAAGAGCAATTAGGAACCCAAGACAAAAAATAAAAACATATTGAGGTCAGATTGAAAATATTGTGCTAGATTTGGGGTGTTACCTTCAGGGGGAAAATGCACAGAAAGCAAGGAAGAAAATCTATCACGAATTTTATTTTTTACTTTGAGGTATGCTGTAGTCTGCAGTTCATTAGGAAATCCTTTTTGGATTGCCTGTGAACTTTTTTTTTTTTTTTTTTTTTAATGCCATTTAAGCAGTCAAAAACCAGTGTAACAAAAACGGGAGGAGGAGGGAAGTTTATAACATTTCCTGGAATTTGAAATAGATTATGAAATTGTGTGTTATGGTAGTACTCCAAGAAGAAGATACACATTCAGGAATGGTCTTCTGGGTGGGGTTCTAATGCTGGTAGCGAAAGTTGAGGTTGGCCGGTTGGCCCTGCCATCTCGAATTTCCTGTATCCTGCAAGCATGGAATGGAGTGGAAGGGACTATTTTAATCACAAGATAGTGCTGAAGTTCTGATGCTGCTCTATTCTTGAAAAGTAGATCCAGGTTATACATTCCGGATTCCAGTGTGTATCTTAAGACATATTAGGGATGGTTTATAGCTTTTCTGGGGGAATCTTACATTTTTAGTTCAAATATGCAATTTGCTGTGCTTTTTTAAAGCAGTTTCAAGATAGAAGCATCCTTGATTACACTGAATAAAACAACTCTATAAAACCATCCATTGTATTTTGTCTGTTAAAAAAAATGTCCTTGAATGGAATAGAACTATCCAGTACAATAGTAGTTACACCTTTGCAATGTGGCCTGTTGTATGAGGGCAAGGTATCTGAGACATTTTTATGAATACAGGGGACATAATGTGACCAGGACTATAACTGGGTAATCAGTATAATGAGATGCTTTGTAATGAGATTTTATTGTACAAGAACCCAAGAGAACTGGTATGGTTTGCTTTGTGTGTGATCCCAAGACTTTTAAATGAGATTTAAAAAATACTAATCTTCTCTAACCCTTGCTTCATCTTCCAACAGGAGAGTTAAATTCTTATCTTGCCTTAAATTGCTGTGTGATTGAGCCCATTGGATTTAAACTACACAATCCAAAGATTATAGGACCTCTTTATTAATAACTTTTTTCTCATGAAACAGTGTCTAGAAGGTGGAATATTTTAAAGTGTTGTTTTGAGTAGACTTGAGGCCATAGCTCTTAAGAAAATAATTATTCTAAAGTTTTTTGTGGCTAGGTAAAGAACCTTTGTGGTTCCAAGTTCTGAATTACCCAACAAGAGAAAATTTTGTAGGACAAAACTGAAAATAACATGGTTAACATCTGGATCTATTCCTTTAAATGTAGTTTCTTCCTACATCTGAAACTTTTTGATCAACATGATTTTTTTGGTGTGTGTATAAATCACATGGGTAATAACCACATGGGTAATATGGTCATGACACAATATTTAGGAAATATAAATAAATCAAATAAATTTAAAAAAGAATGCAAAGAAAGAAAATATAAGTCATCTGTAATTTTAATACTCAGAGATAACCACTATGACAATTTGGTATTTATCTTTTTTTTAAATTTTATTTTATTATGTCACCATACATTACATCATTAGTTTTTGATGTAGTGTTCCATGATTCATTGTTTGCGTATAACACCCAGTGCTCCATTCAATATGTGCCCTCCTTAATACCCATCACTGGGCTAAACCATCCCCCACCCCCCTCCCCCCTCCCCTCTAAGACCCTCAGTTTGTTTCTCAGAGTCCATAGTCTCTCATGGTTCGTCTCCCCTAGTATTTATCTTTTCATGTTTATTTTATGTGAATATGTTTGTGTTTGGGGGGAATATATGTGTATACATATGTATGTATAGTACATGTGTACATATAGAGAGAAATACAGATTATTATCCATTTTGATGTTGCAGTGGAACCCTTTTTACAGATTAAATATGATGTTATGAACTTCGTTCTCTTTACTTGGGTTAATGGATGATATTACAACTGTTTCATATATTGAAGTTGGAATAATTTAAAATTACAGTAAGAACCTAAAAAATGATAGATTTTAGCTCTTTTAAAGCACTCACAGGATAGTTACTTGTTTTCTTTGCTTAGATCAGTGACATAATTTTAAAATTTGGAGTATGATACTCATGGGCTAGATATAGACTTATGAGAGTCTTATTTAGCATCTCTTCCAACTTGGCAAAGATAGTTTCCCTTCTTTATCACATGTAGCTCAAGAATGATGGATGAATGAAAGATCTACTTTGTTTTTGGAGAAGTTACCTCCAAATTCCCAGAAATTGATTTGACAGTTGATCTGTTGGTAAAGGGAATGAGACCTGCATATTTTTTATTTACCCTTTTACCATTTGGGTTCTGATCTTAGGTTTTTTTTCTCTTCTCAGCATTTGTTGGATTAAACCAAATTATCTTTCCCCTCGGTTGTACTATTTTAAGGAATTCTTAGAAATATTTCTATTACATACAAACCGTAAGTTGAATATGCGCTTAATCTAGACAACATTTCTAGTATTAAAACATTTATGATGTAACCCATAAGGAATATTTGAGATAATTCACTACAAAGTATAGCTCTTGTTACACCACACACACACACACACACACACACACACACACACACACACACACACACACACACACACATTCTCTCTCTCTCTCTCTCACTCACTCCCCCCTCCAGTTTTCCTCCTCATTCGCCTAAACTACCAGTGCTTGTTTTTACATATAGTGTATTTCCCATGTACCAGCACACTTGATCAGAGACACTTGCTGCTGCTAGATGTTTTATTCTGTGTGTTCTTTGTACCTTACAGTAAAAGAATCTGTCACAAATTATTGTGGCTCACTGCTTTAGAAACTGGGAAAAAAGGGAGGTTAGATTGACATCTGTGACTGAATAATGATGACCAGCCTTTTGGCTCTCCTTGAGCCACAAAGCTAGCACTGCCTTTAGAGTGGAAAAAGAAGTAAGAAGAAAGGGGAGGGATAAAAGAGAGTTACAAATCTGTGGTCCCGGAGATGTATTACTGTTGGGCCAGTTGTCTGCGTGGTATGATAATCCATTTTGATCTTCTCTGTCTTAATTGTCTGCTAAAGACAAATGGGCAGTAAAAGTTCATCAGTTTCATCTTTTTGCTTCTCGTTTAGAAGCAGAATAAATGATCCATCACCACAGAAGTAGCCTTTCTTTCTGACACGGAAGTAATGCAGACCCAACACGTTTTATTAAAATGTTTTCCCCTCATTATTTCGCTCCTCTCAGCTCTGATAGATCTTACTGTTTCATAAAAAATGTAATCTGAAATGTAAATAAGGGTCTTGATTCAGAAGGAAGAAGTAATGAGCAAGCCTGAGCCACATCTTAGGACTCTTGATTGTAATTACTGACAAAGTGATTTCTCTGTGCCCCATTTTTTTTTCTTCCTTAAGTTGTCTGTGACACCCTCAGCCCGCAACAACATCTATGGTTTAAAACCATTAAATCACTGTAGCACTCAATATTTCATTTAAAATCTGGTAAGCCTGCTATCTTTAAACCTGCAAGTATAGGCTTTGTTAATTTCTGAAAGACATGCAATGCCTGTATTTTTGAAAACAGAGAAACAAACCAAAAAGGCAAAAGCGCAAGGGCTTTTCAGAGTTCACATTATTTATTCATCTCCTTTTGTTTAATGCTTAGCTAGTTTAAATACTAAAACATCAACATTCATAGGGTGCTGACTTGAATCCTGCATTTAAAAAAAAATCTAACAACTTACATAAGAAATTTTAAAAATGGTGTGTCCTTTAGGGTTAGGCATAATATAAAGTAGTCTAAAAATTATTTTTTGGGGGGGTGGTGAAGATTCAAAATTACAGATATAATTTTTAAGTTACGTTGGTTTTGGTAGCTTAAGCCAGGTTCTTTTCAATCTCTCACTACAAGTTTAGAGAATGAAGTTCTTAATAAAACCTGTACAATAGAAAATTTTTTAAAAAACAGAATCACAACAAGATTTCTTTTTCATTTCTGGAAATGGTTCTCAAAGATATCAGCATGTCAATCTAGCATTAAAAATAAAATACAGAACATGAATATCTTTTTCTGCTGGAAATAGCCTGTTAATTAAGTAGATTTATAATTATTCTGTTTACTGTATTCATTCATAATTATGGAAGTAATTGGTAAAACTTTACTCATTGTGATTAGTGCAGTTTTAATGAATACTAATTGAATTAAGGGAGAAAAGGATAGTTAAATTAACATGTTAGCAAATTATGGTCACCATTCTCATCAAAATCCCATCTTTGGTTTCAAAACATTATATGATTTTTCAGATTAAAAAGAGCCTTTAGTAACATGTACTGTGGGATAATTTGGAGTAAAGCCATGGTAACCTATCAGAAGATTTCCATAAATAGCCTTGTAATATGTCAAGTATAATAGGCATTACACATACCATTTTAAAACATGTTAGTTATAATACGATTACCTCTTGTACTAAAACATGTAGAATTAATAATTTGTTCTCACAATTGCACTTTTTATAGCCTGTTTGTTCCAAGAGTGGTGCTTAGGGGTGAATGTACTAGAAGTTGCTTCTCCAGTGCGCTCATGTATATTTTGGTGAAATATAGCCAGTGTCTTAGAGCTCTTTGAACAGAGGTCTGAGCACACGTACTTACCCTATGTATATAGTTTGCTGTTTAGAGTTGCAGGTAATTTTTCTTTCCACTGGCACTGAAACAGAGGTTATAATGAAACCAACAATCTTTATGCATTTATAGAAACTATAAAAATCTTATGGAAATCTTTATATAGAAACTAACAGTGTTGCTTGTACAAGCTCTATAAGCAAAGTAGAAACATGGTACATTGGG